GACTTTTGCCAGCCTTCTCCTTTAAGTCTTTTTAGTGTTCTTCCATTTTGGAAATTGTACCGCTTCTTTATTATTGTAATAAAACACTGTTCTCAATAGTAAAAAACACATTTATCACAGAATATCTAAATGCCAAGATCCTCAGATCTACTCACCTTTTATTTTGTCCCCTTTTTTTCCTCTTAAAACTTATTTTCTTAAATTCACCTATCAAATCCCCTTTTTTGCACATGTCATCATATTTTTGCAGCACTTTTCCTGTCTTGCCCCACCATGTGATGCCTCACCCTACTATACCATTCCCTGTCCTGTCCTGTCCCATCCCATCCTGTCTTGTCACGCCTCGCCTTTCCCTGTCATCCCACCCCATCCTGTCCTGTCCTATCCCTTCCATGCCATCTTATTCCTTTCCTCAGACTATTGCCTCTCTTCCCTTTTTCTCCCTTCTCATCAGATCTCTGGCTCTTCTCTGCCCCACATGCCTCTCTCCTTTCCCCCTTTAATAAGTGCTATCACTGTAATATTGACCTTGCGGTTGAAATATTGACAAACACGATGCAAATCTGCCCAGAAAGCACTTTATAAACAGAGCAAAGTAGCCAGAGAAAGCCAAGCTCCGTCTGGCTCAGATTGTTTGAATTAGAGCAATTGCGTCTTTTAGCCTCCCCTCTGCTCCCTCTGCACACACATGCACACACACACACACACACACACACACACACAAACACATACATACTGACATGTGCAAAGGGTGAAGGAATTGTTACAATCCAGCTGCCTCCCATCCGAGGCTCGTCTGCCACTGCCAAGGGATGATGATGCTGATGATGAAGTTGCACTGGACAGCATGCCAGTATTGGTCCCATGATGACATCACAGGCTGATGTCATGCAGACGGGTGTGGTGATTGGACAGGCAGCTGACAAGGGTTATGTGTATTTGTGTGTGTGCGTGTGTGGCTGTGTGTGTGTGTGTGTGTATGTGCACATGTTAGGGCAGGGTGAAAGTATGCAGTGTCCTCTGGGGTTCTCTGCAGTCAGTGACTATTGCATTTGTACTGAAGGAGGAAAGGACTGAGGAAGAGAAGTTTAAGGAGGAGGAGGTGGAAGAGCAGGAGGAAAAGAAGAGGAAAGAAGAAAAGCAGGAAGGAAAATGACAGAAATGTAACGTGATGTAAATGGTAAAAGAGACTAACAAATAGAACTAACAAGACCAAGAGTCTACAGCCATGCAGCTCTGTGAGGCTGTACTTGAGCTAACACCAACATGCTCACAGTGACAATGCTAACATGTTTATCTTCTTAGTTTGGCATATACTAACTATATAAATATAGTTTAGTGGAGACATTTCACACAAAACCACAAATGTTAACCTCATGGTAGCATCATATGAAAAGTCAGGGGATCACTAAAGTCATAGGTTTCATCCTCTGGAAAGTATGAATGTCTGTATAAAATGTTGTTCCGTTCCATCCTGTAGATGTTGAGATATTTTGCAGGATATATAAAAACTTTGACCTGCTGGTGACGCTACAACCAACCAATTGACCAACCAACCCTGCGATCCCTAAAGCCGTTAGCATGGCTAAAATATTAGTGAAGTAGAGAGTAATTATAGTGAAGTTGAAAAGTGTCTGTCCCGTCCTGAGGTACACATGTCACTGGTAACCTTTGAACAAGCTGTAGTCCGGGATTCCGCTTAAAGAGGATCTAGAGCACAACATACCTGTGATTGCATGTTTAATCTTATCTCCCATAGTCTCCCATCGTGGACCACAGACCAGTAGGTTTTCCTTAAAGCTTGTTTTTTTCCTGTCAGTAAAGGTAAAACCTGTGTCATTTCTTGGACTTTGGTTGGCCTCCTTGTGGCCGTAAATTGCACCACAAACCTCCCACGCAGTCCACAAGCGATAAGAGCATATCAGCAGTTGTGGCTGTTCTTTTTTAATTTGATGTTGTCACAACATTTAAAGAAACACACTGTTATATACTGACAGCATATGTAGTTAAATATATTATTATAGGAATGGGTAGGACCTGTGGAAATAGTAACAGTAGACAACCAGGTAGAAAAACTTGTTTCCTCAAAATAGAGGAAAGGACAATGACTCTTTATCAGATAGTATCATGTGTGGGTGAAAGTAGGTCAGTCTGAGAATGGGAGACACAGGTATTCAGGTGTGGGATGCAACTATGGAGTTCAGCTACAGACCACAACCTCACCCATGTATTTGTACATTGCAGAATATGTATCGATAACTGTTTGAGCATTCACATGTGTCGTTTCCTAGATTTGGCACACCTAGAGGATTGCGGTCATTTGCCACTAATTTTCAGAAATTGTAGAAATCAGATATGCCTGCAGAAGATGACAGATAAGAGCATGTTGTGACACCAGTCAGCCTCTGAGACTTTTATTTACCAGTAGCCTACTGGCATTTCATTCAAAGACAAAACTTGACTATGGTAGCCCTGTTTTTACTGGCAGAGCTGAGACTAGCTACCAAACTTTGCACTCATTTTCCTTATTTTTTATTTTTAAGCGTATATCCTTTAAGTGAAGTTTATATTGAATTCAACTGATGTTTCTTTTGGTCAAAAGGGTAGAAAAATAGAAAAATTTAAAACTCAAAACAGCTTTACTATACAGGTACAGGTTACAGGTATACACGTTGATTATATTATAGTGTGTGACTGCTCACATGTATGTTTTTGTCAAACAATGATCAAAAGAGTCACGAACCAGCGAGTGAAATATCCTGAAAGGTATAAATGTATTTTATATCTTAGTACCTACAGCTGCTGAGTCGAAAGTATCTCTGTTGCATAATTTAGGATTTGTTTTGCTGCAATGACGCAACTTCAAATATGGCCCCACAAACTCAGGAGGTCAGTTTATAGACATGTAATTTACTTTTATAAGCTTTAACTTTAGTAGTTGGGAGTCAAAGATGAAGAAACAAAACTAACTCTGCCAATGTTTGAGCAACGCTTCACAGCAGAAAATTGAAAGATTATATGAGAAAATCTTGATACAGCTCTTTAATGTGTTCAAAATGTTTATGAATTTATTCTCTGAAATTGAAATGTACAGTATTGGCTAACACGGAAACATATGGTAAACATAGAGATTTACTGATAAAGTGCAGTTTGGAAGTATTTGGACAGTGATATGACTTTGATTGTTTTGGCTCTACTTCAGAATTTTGCATATGAAATAAAACAATGACTATGAGGTTAAAGTGCAGAATTTCAGTGTTAAGGGTGTTAAAGGTGCCATCATCCATGCTTGTGAACATTGTAGGGATATTCATACACATCCCTCTGGGGGATTGTATTAAAAAAAGGCTACAATTTCAACACAGTTTGTCTGATGTGGATTAAATCTGAAAGGCAACACTTTCCATCAGAGTTATTATTATTTTATTGCAAATTCAATGTGCTGGAGCACAACACTATGTAAGACAGAGCTGGCTGACACAATTATCAGACAACATGACTAAAATAATACTGTTAGAGCCATTTGTATAATGGAGCATGAAGAGAACACAAGTCTTTGACTTTGCTTGTTGTGATGTGTTTTGTTGCCTTGCTATATTAAAAAAAAAAAAATCAGTTTTTAGTAAACGGTTGAAATGAAAAACATGGGCTATTTTAAATGTATGCTTAGACTCTGTACAGTAGCTTAAAGGTCCAGTGTGTAGGATGTAGTGTAATCTAACATGCAGGACTATTTCACAGGTAGTTGTTCATTTCTAGGTAATTTCGTCACTTGCCTGGTCATGACCAAGCAAACAGTCTTCTAGGGAACTTTAGAGATGCTGTCTTGCCTATGCTAAGCTAAACTAACAGTCGCCTGGCTGTAGCTAGCTCACATATTCAATGGGAAAAATGTTGAAGTATTCCTTTAAAGAGATTTTAACATACTAGCCATACACATGCAGCATGGCAGGGGGATTTGACACTAACAGGCGAGGCAGACAGGTAGTGAGGTTTGCAGTGGTTGATTCCTGGCCAGCAGGGTGTGGGTTTACTTACTCTGCCAGTGCCATGTCAAAACTCTGGCATAGGGCTCCACATCCTCTGGTGGGTGGAGACATTCTGTGTTGTCTGGTGATGAAGTGCCCCGTCATGGCAGATGAATGAGGGCAGGGATAAGAGACTTGAGTGGGCATGGATGTCATTTGTAAGCCTCAATGGGTGTACACAGAAAAAAAGATATCCAGCATGTACAAAGTACTTGTGTTTATATTTGTGTGCACAGACAGGAACATGGGTGTGTACATTCCTTGATCATGGCTGGGCCCTTCTTGTGTGTATCCCTCCAGCTGACAGGACCTTCCTGTTGTAGTAATTGTCTTTTCATAGCCAGACTGAGGCGCCCCTTGGCCCAGGGCAGACAAACAGGCAATCACTTTAAAATCACGTGAAACTCTATGACAGCAGAGGAAAGTGAAAGAGAATAGACAGGACTCAAGCTTTGAGGTGAATTTAAGAATGTTAAAATGTCATAGGGCCTGGAGCCCAAGCTGTAAAACACTTAAATCAGCCCTGAAGTGGCAGCAGTCGCTTACATAACTTTTGCTCCATTTTGTTTCTCTTGAACTACACTTATCTGAATCATGGCCCCCGTAAAAGGAGCCATGTATTGTTTCAGAACAGAATAGTAACAAGATTAGACCTAGCTTGGCTTTGTGTGTGTAATAACTCCACCTCTGTGGCATTCATAACACAGGCTTGGGTCACAGTTAAGAGGGAGAGAGGATAAAATAAAGCAACGGCAGCGCTCTTATCCGACGCTCCCCTCCCTTCTCTTTTCCTTCCTGCGAAATCAGATCTGAGCTCTGGCCTGTCTCTCCACCCGGCCCCCCGAGAGAGAGGGGTCTGTCTGTCCTCAGCGCTTCCTCCCCGGCCTCACCAACACGGGTGGCGCTGGGGATGTTGCGTAACTACAGGTTGAAGGCATGGTGTTATGAGGTCATCATCCTGTGACCGACATAATGCCTGACGACTCCTCTCCAGCCAAGCTCAAGCTCCATTCTATCCCTCCCTTCCTGAGTGCATCCTGTGATGTAGTGAAAGTAGGTCTGAGTCTGAGGTTAAGTCATTCTCTTGCTACAGTAGGTGCGCATACAGGCGGTGGAAACAATAACACTGAGAATAATTCAACTCAACAAAAAATACCATAAAGCTGACCTTCTGACACCATCTCGACAAAGAATAAAAAGTGAAGGTTAGCATAGCAAAGTTAGCATTTATTAAAGAGCTATTGTATTATGTTTGTAACCTCAAGTATGTTAACTGCTTGTTGGATTACCTAACAGTCACTAAAACTCCTCCTGCCACACCTTTGTGGCTGCCTACAATTTTTGTATCTTTCCAAAACAAAACAATCCAACAAGTACACCCACTTTGTGTCATGTTCGTCCAGGTGTGAAATTGTATCAAAGTTGGCAGGATTTGAACTTCTCTCTCAAGCTCTCTTTTTTCACAAGATTTTAACCATATGGTGGTAAAGTCTGTCCACCAGACTGATGGATTCCTCCAGTGCCACCAGAAGGTTCACATTTTTGGTTTTTAATGAAATATCTTTCATCAAAAACTCAATTATTTGATGGATTGCAATTAACTTTGGCACAGTTGTTAATAGTGCTGATAGGATGACCTGACTTTACTTCTAGTACCACCAGCAGATCAAACTTTTCACTTATCTTGAGAAATATCTTAACATACAGTATATTTGGTGATTTCATGACTTTCTTCTGGTGTCACCATGAGGTTGACAACATCTGGATAATTATTAAATAGACTGCCAATAAAACTTGGTACAGACATTCGTGCACCCCTCTCACTTTTGTGATTCCTGAACTTTTCCTTAGCGTCATCATCAGGTCAAAATGTCAGTTTGTACCATAATGTACTTTGGTTTCACCAAATACCTACAAAAATAATGACATTCCCATCAGCATGTTAGCATTGCCACTGTGAGCATGTTAGCATGCTGACGTTCACATTTACCTGAAAGCACCTCTGTGCACAGTGTACAGCTTCACAAAGCAGCCAGCATGCTTTTAGACTCTTAGTTTTGTTTTACAATTACACCTGTCACATTTTGTGCGTGTGCAGCCAAAGACAATACCAGGAATGCGTTAACGAAGAGCCTGCTAAAAGTGTGCGCCATCATCTATGATTGTATGATTTTTGGCACATTAACTCCAACTGTTTGTCACAGAAAGCATAATTCTATCTTGTGCTACTTACTAAGAGAGGAAATATTATATTGTGACACCTTCTAACAACTCACCATGGAACATCATTGAACTCTGCTTTTGGATTGGTGCCGACAACCTCTGACGATATAAAACTGTGTCTTTGTGCTTATCAATCATAGCATCAGGGAACTCAAACAGGAAATGTTTTTTTAATGACCACGCTGCCCTTGTACCGTAACGCTGTGCTACCCAATTAGCTGCCAATAATTACACGCTCATGTGTATTTCAGAAATGGACCTTAGCTCTGAGCACAGTTATTAGTTTTGTTTAGACAGAGAAGCGGACAAAGTCACAAAAGGTCTCTTTGAGAAGCTCCTCAGGTGCTTTTTGTCATTGCGGTCAGCAGCCTTATCTGATGAACTGTGAGATGAAGCTAGCATTCTGGGGTCCACTTTAACATTTCCTACTGCAAAAACTAAAACATTTTGTGCTGCAGATTGTCACAACATGGAGTGGAGACCAAGTGGCGCACTGAAATGGTGATAAGCATCAAATTGCTCCTGTCAGCGACAAAAAACTTCTGTTTCTCACATTTTGCGGCTCAGGCCATGGTCCTTAGAAAAAGGGAGCCTTTTGAAAAGGAGCTGAATAAGGCACGTTATGGAGTGAGCAACAGAAAAAAAAGCTATCACAGCATTTAGGTAAGAAATGACAAGCGGTCGGACAATTTAACATCTATCTTAATTCACAAGTTTAATGTGTGAGTGTAGGGGTTTCATTACTTTCGCTTGGCTCCTTTCCTTTGCCATATTTACATACTCATAAATGAGACTTTTTACAGGGATCCTAAAAATGAAGTACCTTAGAAAAATAATCAGTAATGTGTGAGCAAACAACTAAATTCACTTTAACACCTAAACTGAAATGAGAGAGGAGTGGCCCCACAGACTCTCTTGTATGGTTGGATAATGTGGGCACAGTATATCACATGTAATATGAGTCTGTACTTGGATTGAGCAACGTCATACATTGCATCTTTACCATATAATGCATTCTTGATATTTTTTCTTCTCACTGAAGATGCCTCTTCAGCATTTTCTCACTGCTCAGTGGTGCTATTTTTCTATCCCGTTTCTATCACTGGTACTGAGCCAGTGTGTGTACAGTTTAAGATAAAAGGCTGCTCCTATCTGTGGGCAGAGGGTGTGTACACTAGATCAGCACGCACATTATCGTCAAGCGAATATTTACTCTTTGGCCTGGTGCCCTATCTTCTCACGATGGCATCTGACATGGTTTCTGTGCCTCCATTCTCACTTAACATGTCACAACTGTGGATGGTGTCATACTTTGATCTGAGCTAAAGTCAAAGTTTTACATTCCTGTTGAGTTTTTCCTCAATGTTAGAACATTACGAGAGCAGGGTTGTATACTGTCATATGAACAAGCTGATACAGTGACTGCTTTGATACTTTGTGAAGCCAAGTGTAATAGTATTGCTGGCAGTGGCCACTGTGACATTTTAATTTAGGTAACACCCTCATTATAGCTTAATGGGGCTGTAAGAATGACATAATACTACAGAGACCCTCAGCTTGATGGAAAACCCCCTTGACAATGATCTTTCTTTGACCCATAGTTGTATTACTACGTCCCCAACACCTGCTTTTTTCACTCTTCAACTCTTTCTCCCTACTTTCATTGTCCCCCTTTCCCTCCCTCCACATCCATTTTTTCTCTTCATGAGTTTGCTTTTCTGCTGCTGCCTCTCTGTTCTTTGAATCTCACATCTGCCTGTGTTTTTCCCCTTTCCTATTTATTTTCTTGTTCTGTACTGGTTTTATCATCTCATTTTCAGACTCCTTACTTCCTTTTTTTACAGTGTGACACTTACACTGTGAGACAGAAAGCAACTAAACAGCTTAACATTTCCATGGAGACGCTTTATCTACGTTATGATCTAAGCCTCCTGCCACAGTTAGCTTCTTTCTGTTTTTGAACATACCCGTCATTTACACCAGCTTGGCACCAGAAGCGAACAGTACAACAGCGATCATGATGAAAATGAAGACAATAATACTGGTAAGAGTAATGGAATACTACTCTCAGGTCTGTAGCGGCTGCTTACGCACATATAAGAATGAGTCACAGGGAGGGGAGGGTCCTCCCTCCCTCTGCAACTTTGTGGTGAGGTATTAACATAGTGAGGAAAAAAAACTGGTTTGACAGACAGTTACACAATCTGGATTCTTTGTTATGGAACGTAGGGTAAGTCGAGGTGGATGTGTTGATGAGGGGTATTCATGCACATTACTGTACTGTGTGTATGAAGAAATATCAAAGAAGCTGGAGATAAAGAGAAAAGTTGAAGGAGGAAAAATAAAAATAAATATAGTATTTGGAAGAGATGATATTTTAATTTAATCCACCCTCCATAAATTTAGCTTGCTGTGTACTTTACATTAAAGGAGAATAATGGTTTATTACAACTCTGTTCTTATTTTCATAGTTTTGACCATTTATATCAGTTATTTTAATATAGTACTCATCAAAGTAATCACTGAGATCTGGGCCATCGCTAATCTGAATACAGATCAAACAGGTTGTGGACAAGCCAACAGTTAAACCAGATTAACCGAACCACTTTATTGAGAGGTTAAACAGAAGTGAGGGCGCTTCAAATGTTGTTAATAATCAGTCATGGCACAAGAAAACTGTGTGCGCACAACTAAGTCATTGTTTTGTGTCAGCTGAGGCAGGAAGTTGGCCTGTAAACTGTGTTGGATGTTAACAATGGACAGTTGAGGCTATAATTTTACAGTTGACCTGTGTTTTCTCTTCCCAAAGAGTTTGATTAACCTGGGGGGTTTGAGTAAAGCCATTATGCAAACTGTTGTGCTTCTTGCCCATTTAACTTCTTTTTAGTGATGCTAGCTGCTTGGCTAATGGCAGTCTGTCAGTCGCTACAGAATGTGTCTAAACGTCAAATGTTATTCGATGGATTGCCATGATATTTTCTGCAGACATTCATATCCCCAAGATGATGAACTGTAATGCCTTTTTGTGATCACCTGACTTTTCATTCAGCGCGATCATCGGGTCAAATACTTGGCAGTTTGTATAAATGATTTTTTTAACATATTTGTACTGGCCTGAAGGATTTTATAACCTGATTGGAGAAGTTTAAATGAGTTATGGAGGGGGTGTGAAGGGTCCTGTGTGGTTGCTTTATGTCTAACTGCCTGGGTGTAGAGATCTGATAGGTGCCCGTTTTTTTAGCATGCTGATGTTAGCATTAGACAATAAGACAATATGTTGTAATAAACTGTACATTTCTTTTAACTATTTGAATAACCACAAACATTTGCAAAAAAACTTCTTCAATGTGACCATGTTCAAGAACCTCTCCGGAGGGGGAAACAGAGGTGAGTGGCTCTAAAAATAGCTCTGTTCCCAGCTCTGTGACAGAGAGAAACTAACACACTTAACTATAAGGTCCTAATACAATACACTGCTCGTCTTTTCCTCTTTTACACACACACAAGCCCATGCAGAATGAGGAAGTGAGGATAGTCATAGCTCCTGGGTTTGTGTGAGCACACCAACACAACCGTTTATCCCAACGACACTTTAGTCACAACAGGTACACACACTGTTGACTGTTCTTCTCTTCACGTCATCTCATGCACTTGTTTGCTCTATGTAAGAAGGAGCCCCTCACTTATTCAACAAGAAAAAACAAATACAAGGGCAGCTGAATGAGCCCTTTATTGTTAACATGGGTGCGCTTTAAATAGCAAAAATTACTTTTTCTTGCTGTATGCGAATGTGGTGACACTGGTGCCGAAGCCTCCAAGACAAACAAAAA